TCTGTTGACGGGGTTAATCTTTATTGATTTATTCCTTTTCCGCGTTAATCACGAAGTCTAGACCTAATTATTTATCAAAAGGGATAATTTCTCAATCATATGGCAAGCTATAGAGGCATAAAAATTTAATTTATCTGCCAATAAAACTACAACTTGATAGTAATAAATTATATCGAGAGTGTAATCTCAGCTATGAAATCTGGAAGATTTGTTGCTGGTAGAGGAACAATTTTCCTCGAAATTCGTTCGTATATTATTATGTAACGTAGCTTTGTAGCAACATACTTATCTGATTTACGTTTACGCTTTGGCACCTGGGCCAAGTCAAAGCGTTTGTGCTTTTAAGAGCCCTTAATGCATCTTATGTTTGGGAACCGCTAAGGTGTTTCGCAAAAAATATATTAAATTGATAAAATAACGGTCTTTAATCTTGGCTGACCACCTTTTATCCCGACTGGACTACGACTTCCTCCATCTTTTCAACCATATGTTCGTATTTTTGCATGTACGGTAAGGAAATTTGAATTATACATATAAACCGGAATTAAAAAAAAAATGGCACCGTAAGTGTGAACCATAAAAGCAGCAGATACAAAAGGGAAAGTCCCTCGAACACATTTCATTTCAATGGCCAGTTACAGTAAAGAGCCAAATTATCTGCAAACTTAGTTCCCTTCGTAGTTTGTAAAGTTTTAATTAGCAGGGGTTAAATTTGATGACAATTTACGCTTCTGTCGGTAGCGTCCCAGACTGTACATCTAATGACCACAATTTAGTCACAACGTGTTATTTCGTTTCAATTTTTGGGAAGTAAGAGCATCTTCGGTGTAGATGACGACGTACTGCGTTTTATGTAGGTACCAATTCCAATTTTATATAATCCAATGACTAATTTTGTCGAGTGCCTTTATCTATATCGACAAGTAGCTTTATGTAACTGTAAAATCGAAATTTACCGGCTCTTAGCAGATTATGGATTTGAGTCGTAAAACGGAACTTTAAGTAAATTACATTACCTTATTTTAGAGCTGGGGATTGTGGAGACATTAAAATGCAAGGCGATAGCACGATAGTGATTGATTTCTCGAATATGGTTCGAAGGGGCGCCGACACTCAGTTAATTAATAATTGGGAAAGTTCAATCGTCAAACTTTACTTTAGACGCGAAGGCGTTGTAGTTTAAATTGAACATGCTGTTCGTGTTCCACTCCAGTGGCAAACATATTTCTGAGCTAATTTTATTAAATTTTCGTAAGTTTGTTGAGTTTTAATAATAGATACGAAATGAGCTTTAAATCAAAACATTTTCTTTCTTTATATCATGATACAGTTAGAATACGTGTTGAACCAATACATTTCTTCTCTGTTTTTAAAGTAACTTTGATGAAAGTTTGGCAAATGAATGAATTGCAAATATCTAAGCACATTTTGATCCAAGGAAAGCAATGCTTAACATCTCCATAACATTATTACAATCCACACTGTAAAAAGTTTCGTGTAAAAATCAACACGGAAAGTGGTCGATATACGACCACACGAGGAATGGTAGACTGTACCATATCCATTTTGGTAAAGTCTACCAAATGATCGTGGTAAAATTTTACCCCGTGTTGGTGTAGGTATTTTCACACGAAGATGTGTAAACTTTACACACAGTTTTCGTTAAATCACGGTCAAGGTAACCATTTGCGGTGTAGAAAGTGTGTAACCTTCCTTTTTTACCAAAAATCGACTGCACCAAAATTTCTCGGGAAAACACTTTTTCTTATTAATTTTGGTGCGTAGAATCCAAAACAATTCGCCCTTTTTCGATCAGATTTCTCAATCAAAAGTTATAGACTAGAAACCAATTTCGAAAGAAAATTCAAAGGGCTGTAACTTTTGAACTAGTAGCCCAATCTTGGAACTGTTTGAAATTATAGATTCTACAGGCCACATTCTATAAGAAAATTTTTTTCCGGGTCGATCTGAGACAATTTTTTTTTCGGGCCTCAAAAAAAGGCAGTGTGTAACCTTCCTTTTTTACCAAAAATCGACTGCACCAAAATTTCTCGGGAAAACCGAATTTTCGTGTTACTATAACCGCACTCCAGTGTTTCTTTTTTCTGAATATAGAGGAGGGTGGAGGGAAGTGAGCGAAAACGTTTGCTACTAGAACTTTTTAAATAAACTAATTTATTTAAACAAATATGTATATATTAGTACATATACATAGACAATATAAAACAACCGAAATACATATAACTAACTTATATGTCTGTATATATATAAACAAAATTCTATATTCTATACCTAAGGGCCAGCCCTAATACCATAACATCAACTAAACTGCACAGTATTTTTTAAAAAGCAAGATTTTATGAACCTTCAATTAACTAAATAGGTGTATAACATTACCTTTATCCGCATAACTACATCATACGTACTGTCCTCCGGGATCATTAACCACTTCACAATGATTTTGTAGTTAAATTTAATTGCGTTCATATTACTTTCACCAGCACAATAAAATTAATTCAAAATTGAAGTCTTATACAGATAACTGCTTCTAAGGTACCTATACTGAATGTAGGTGCAACTGCAATGGCATCATACAAGAGATGTGAACAACCGACTGAAGTAATAATGGTGACCGACTCAAGTCGAGACAATTGAAAAATATTGAGTCTATTTGCACAATCTGGGGTTAATCAAACGAAGAACCCGTGTATTCTTTATACTGACGAAAAACATTACACCACATTGAATACTTTTACAAGTTACGGTGTAAGTCTTATAGAAATTCTACACAATTGCGTTTTACCAATAGTCTCATAGTAAGAAGGTGTAAAATCTTACCAGATTTCGTGTAGCATTATACACGAAAACAACATACACTTTGCATTTTTAACAGTGCAAGTTTACTTAGGTACCCCTGAAGTAGTCTCAGAAAGCTCCACTACTTGGAAGGATATTAATAAAAAACCTTCAATTTGAATAGTTTATTACAAATTGAATTAAATGCATTAACAATCATACAAGCGAAAATTGAACACCTTTCGTGTTTGAGCACGTACGGTATTTAACTATAGTATTTGTCCCTGAGTATTTAAACTGTATAGGTAGTATTTAAAACTTACAGAGAGCCGAGGTACGCACACGGACGAAATGTGAAAAATAAGTGACCTCGATTTGCCTCCGGTGGTCCCTTGCCAAGCCCACCTGCAGGTACCGTTAGCCTGTAACAAAAGAAAAGAGATTTATTATTCATTAAAAAAAAGTGGTGTTTGTAAAACTGATTTGATTGTAGCTTTCCCCTTAAACTCGATTTAGGGTTCTATTGGTTTATCGTCCTACATGAAGGTAATTAACCTGATATTTTGGTCGAAAATTTGCCATTTCCCAATTTTGAACTTTTTGGAAAAAATAGGGAACATTGGGAACCCTGTATCTTGGGAGCTATCGGACCTAGAAAATTGAATTATGGCTCAAACTGTCAAGAGTACTTTTTACTTTAAAAAAGGAATAAGTAGTGATTTTTCTCGTGAGAGCCTTCCCATGTCATTCTTTTTGCACAAAACTAAAAAAAGTGACAAAATTTAGCGGTTTTTCAGCAATATCTCAGCGCGCTACTTTTTAGAATGCTGCAAATCAGATAATAAAAAAGCTCTCAGTGTGAACAAATCATTGCAAATTGAATTAAACATTAACAATCACACACAGTACGGAGAATCACATACGATTCTTAGTAGGGGAATTTTCTGACATTCGCATTCGGAAAGATAACTTTTAATTCGGCATGTTTACAAAAGTTTAATTGTTTTTGTCTCATTTTTGTCAAAAGCCCGTTCTTGTATCTTAAATTGTTCACAAAGCAATCAGGGTTCTTTTTTATAACGCATGCCCTATGTAATATTCATGGAGTTTTTTACATCCTCCCCTAATTTTTTCCTTAAAACCAACTGAAATATTCACATTATTTGTTGCCTTCGCTTCTTAGACAAGCAAAAAGGGATGATGCAATGTCGATATCTGTACCTTAGTACTGTTTAATTATCTTAGGGATTGGTTTCACAAACCAATTGCATTGTCGAAATCGCCAGGCTTCTGCTTGACATATATACTTAGTTCATTTGGGTTACAGTGGATGGATATTTACGGTCTTGCCGAATATTGTCACATCGTAATCGAGAAGACAACGGTCTAGCGAAGTCCGATTTGTATTCTAATTTCATGGAATGCCAGTTTTGCGACGGACAGTGTAGAAGCAAGGGATTTTCGCATTCTATGACAATATAATGGCCGGACAGCTTCATCGCAGATGCAAAAGATCTGATTAATTTGATCAGTTTGTTCCGGCAGAATAATAGACCGGTACCGGATTGGATTAGCGTTCGTTTCACAACATGCACCTGTTTGCGGTTTATTAATACGTCTTTGACCGAAAGGAGTTGGGGGTGCAGTAAGAGTAGATAGGCGCTAAAGTATTAATTAAAAGTAAACTTGAATTTGTGTGTATATAGACAACCGTCATTTCAAAGTAGTCAAATTTTGTGCGTTGCATGAACGAATGCAAATAAATCGTCCTACTTAAAACTACCACGATACGGGGAAATAAATCAAAATATTTACATAACGTAATTAAAGTTTGGTGTCACTTCAAACTTGTGGTAACCAAATTGAAGATGTATTTCTATGGTAATAAGTTTCTCCCTCCACTACACCTTTTTTAACCAGCATGCGCACTATTCAGGACTATTATCCATTATTTGGACCGCTTCAATTAACTAAAACGAACAATTAGAGGTCCTCATTGGTAATAACGGCTTTTCTTTGTACAGAATTTCCAGCCAGTGCCAATTGTGCTTAATTACAACGACGAACAAAGACTTGCTTGAATATGAAATGTTTCTTAACCGTTAATTACGAGTTGTATTTTATGAATCAAAAATAATTTTCTTTGTACACCACGAAAATTTCCCACGAATTCGCATCTAATTGTGACTTCCGTTTGTTTGCAGATGCTTGTGGCGTGTCCACGTACCAAGAAGTCCAATTTGACGTAGAACCACAGCAGTAATGGACGTCATAGGGGGATTTAATAACACCACAAACACCTTGGACGAATGGAGTCAAATTAGGGAGCGAAACACGACGGGTGATGATATAATCGATAACAAAGTGGTACAAGCCCTATTTTTTATTTTGTACACGACCATTTTTGTGCTTGGTATCTTCGGAAACGTTTTGGTGTGCTATGTTGTGTTTAGAAACCGAGCAATGCAGACTGTCACCAACTTGTTCATAACAAATTTGGCGCTCTCCGACATACTTCTGTGCATACTCGCCGTGCCGTTTACGCCGCTGTATACGTTTTTGGGAAGGTGGGTCTTTGGGAAAGTGATCTGCCATTTGGTCTCCTACGCGCAAGGAGCGAGCGTATACATTTCAACTCTGACATTAACATCGATAGCGATCGATCGATTTTTCGTAATCATCTACCCATTTCACCCACGCATGAAGTTGTCCACGTGCATCGTGATTATTGTGAACATATGGCTTTTCTCGATTTTGGTCACTTTGCCCTACGGAGTATACATGAGGCACAAAAAGGTAGACAATAGCTCTAATCCCAAATATTTCTGTGAGGAAGACTGGCCTAAAGAGGATTACCGCAAGATCTTCGGAGGTTTGACAACGATGATGCAATTCGTTATTCCGTTCTTTATGATGGCTTTCTGCTACATTTGCGTGTCGCTGCGCTTGAACGACAGAGCGCGAAGTAAGCCTGGATCGAAAAGCTCGAAGAAAGAGGAGGCGGATCGCGAACGAAAGCGACGCACCAACAGAATGCTGATAGCCATGGTCGTCATTTTTCTGCTGTCTTGGCTGCCTCTGAATACAATTAATATCATCAACGATTTTTATGTCCAAACCGGCGACTGGCAGTACTATTTCCTCAGTTTCTTTATGGTGCACTCAATGGCCATGTCATCGACTTGCTACAACCCTTTTTTATACGCCTGGTTAAACGAAAATTTCCGCAAGGAATTCAAGCAAGTACTCCCATGCTTTGATCCGTCTGCTAGCAGAGCGGTTCCGGGAAATCGATCGGGAAACTGGCGATCGGAGAGAACTTGTAACGGAAATAACGAAACGCAACAAGATTCCCTGCTACATTCCGGCATCCATCGAGCTGCTTCGATTCGTAGCCAGAAAGCCATTCAATTGCCGCCGATGAAGACCGATAGCGTCGAAGTGGAAAACGTCTTGGTACCTACATCAGGTGCGATGTACGACACGGCCTCTGATACTGTACGACTGAAATTTATTAATGAGGAGTCTCCACCACCGTATTTAGCCGCAATTAAGTCTGAAGAATAGAATTGGTGAGTATTGACGTCAGATTAAATTAGTTTGTATTTCTGAAACTGCGATATCAGCATTAAAACTAGATTTGGTTGAAGCACTATTTTTGGTTTAGTTATACCTTACTATTTCCTGGTTCAATTAAGTTTAACCTGTCGAATATTGAATCGGGGGGGGGGGGGGCATGTGGAATTCTGAAATTCCTAGGTATTCACAAATAATCAATAGTATCCTATCACTGTTTTCTGTTATTCTATGCCATTTTTTCACACAATATAACAATTGTAAGAATATCGCCAAAAATGCAAAGAAAATACTGCAAACACTGTGGTCGCCAAAAATAGAATTAAAATGACAGATTATGAGAATGCACACTCATCTGTTAGGTTAGCTTAGGTATAATTTTTAAGTAAATTCCAGACGGTTGACGAGACATGAAATATTATTTTATCTTATAGCAGATGTGAAATTGACATTTTAATAGGTTTGAATGAGCTGCCTAAGTCGCTCCTTATCCGTAAGGATAGATAACGTGTTCACTTTAAGCGTAAGGGTAGATGAAGTGAAACAGATGATTGTGCATTCTAATAACATCTGTCATTCTTATTCAAAATGGGATGCGGAGCACGAGATAAAATGAAGTTTAGAACAGAAGTCAATCCTCTTTACATGGAAACGACGAAAGACTATATGTAATAATAACTAAATTGTGTTTCTATAGGATTGAAAAACTTTTTGGCAATGTTTAGCAAAAAGTACCTATTTAACGTTTAACTTAAGTAATGTAAATTGTAAGGGTATACGTTGGGCCAAATTTGTTTGAAATTCTTTTTGCCTTTGGATAGCTTTTTTAATTTTGTTCGATTTTCTTTCTTTGAACCCATATTGAATTATCAGAGATGTCTTAAGCCATCAGCTTCCTGATTCTGAAGATAGCTGTTGTATTCACCTTTCAACAAAACCGTACTATCCTCAAAATCTAAACGAAACTAAAAAAAGTTCAGGTCCATAAAGGTTTCAAATGAATTTGGCCTACCGTGGACATCGTCGAATAGTTTATTTTGTTGTAACGTAAATAAGAGATTAATAATTGAAGAGCAAAACAGTAATTTATACATTTGAATTTTTAACTAGTACGTGAATACCTATTTATTTATCATGACTGATTATTTATTAATCAATTGAAAGCGCCCTCAAGCAAATAATTCTATAATTAAGAGCGTATGAACGTATTCAATCGAAAAATTAAGCTAACCGTACACCGTAATTGACGAATAATGGAATTATATATCGATGACTCACGTGTTCCAAGAAAAATTATTATTTGCTGAACGAAATGGAATGGTTGAACGACCACTTAGTTAAACAAGTAAGCTGTAATTAAAACTGGGGTTGGAAAACGGTGTACTTTGTGTTTACATTATTTCAATATCAGACCGTTACTTTTTTAGTTGGCTATTTTGTAACTGAGGCCTTATTTCGGTAACAACAGTGGAAGCTATTACTGTCGAAAAAAGGAATGGACCCTTTTTCTCTCTTCTCTTTCAAATTGTGCATTTAAATTCTGACGATGTGCAAAATGAAACAGCGTGAAAATTTCACAGGACAAACAATTAATTACTTATTCTCTTATAAGTCAACTGCTGACTATTGTTTCAGGAAACAATAACAACATAATCAACTATTTCTTTAACCGAAGTTTATCTCGGCAAAGAAAAAAAATGCAATAACAAGACGCCATCTGGCAAAAACGCTATAATATCAAACTGAAGAGGACTTATAAGTTTGCAATAACCCCTGGCGCAAGATTACAACCGTTCGCGAATTTTCAATAAAAGTTTTTCTTAAGGACACCTTATCATATCTGTCAGTACATTATTCCGTAGAACATGTCTGAAAACGGAACGTCTCTCGATATTATTTATCTTAATAAATTGTTGACGTAGAAAGAAGATCTACTACAAAGCTCTAGACTCAAACCCTAAAGCACTAACATTTTTGAAATACGTATTTATTCCGGTGCACGTATTGTGTTACAGACAAATGTATCGACTTGAATGGTATTTATTTGACAAAAGAATAGTAAAAATTCAATTTATTCTTTTCACAGCATGTAGAAGAAGCCGTACAACGTTCCTTAAAGCTTCTCATATAAAATGTCCACTTCTGAAATAAAAGTCGAGATACACAAATAGATTTCTTTTATTATATTCGTCGCTTTGACTCCTGATGATATAATAAAATGGAATCACCCAAGACTTTTCATAGATTCAGACACTCTGTCACTTACAGACCGTAATTAAAGAAGCGTGAGTAAAATGGGAACATAACAAATGTGTGCCGGCGACAGATTTTTGTAGAGCAATACGATTGGACGGGAAATTATTTTTCTAAGGAAGATGCACGTGAATTTGACAAACTGGTCAATCGTAAGCTTTGGGGAATGATTTGAAAGTGATTTACACACGCACTCTATGAGGGCCTCGTGTTGTAGCTGTCACGCGAACATTTTCATGAAAAACCGTAAATCTAAAATCATTTCATTCGCGAGTAGGATTTCAATAACAGATTCAGATACGATGGCGTTTTTTTTAAATATTTCCTACCTGACTATGGGCACCGTACAAAGCAACAATGTGACGTGACTAGCATCTGCACTAATACACATTTAGTTCGTCACTTTCATTCTATAAACAAACTATTTTGGCACTTACGGTTATTGTCTAACGCAGTAAGGTGCACTTACCAACCTAGGGTGGTAAGTAGGCATTAAATGCGAGAAAAAACGACCCGAACACTAAAATTGCAACCAAAACTTAATGGAAAGCAATAATTTAATTTACGGTTTTAGCCTGGCTTTTAGTAAAAGCAAAATTTTGGGTTGGCAAAATAACGTTAGTTTCAAATACTATTTTACAAAGCAAAAATGACTAAATTTCTATACCACAAAAGTATACTGAAGGATTTGAAACATAATCAACCTAACACGAGCAAATTCTTCGTAACGACACAAGTAGCGTAAATAAAAATCGTAGAAATCGGAATGGGTAATTTGCAATATACTCCAGAACGCACCAGAATTAATTTATTTTTTCGCGAAAGATCCATAAAGCCTTTGAAATTAGCATCAAACTCCAATCCCTTTCTAGTATCAAGCAAGCGCCATTGTACGTTGAACACTTACTTCGTGTATCCTTCGCGAAAAAATACATTAGTTTTGTTTGCGTGTGTTGTGTTCAACCTGAGACACACGGTATATAACGCATCTAAAATTATAGTTCGCGTTAACTGTATATGTAATTGATTTCCATATTTTTTATCTGCTCTCTTAACGATCGCCTTGGCTTCCAATTCTATTACCAGTATTATTCTTGAACCGATTGGGTTCCATCATTAACGGGGGAACGTGCTTTTTCTTTCTTCTCCTCCTCAGTGGCGGATTTAATTTTTTTGCGCTCCTAGGCACACCGAAAGATATGCGCCCCAAAATAATCTTTAAATTGCAATAAATTTTAAAATAAAAATCAAATTATAACATGAAATTTTTATAACTAATATGAAAAGAAACTATCTACCAATTCCAATTTATTTCATAATTTTAACTGAATTTTTGTCATTTATAACTTGTTAGGGGACTTATTTTAAAACTTAAAATAAATATAGTGCAAAAAATGCCACCCCTTAAAGCTGCCGCCCCTAGGCACGCGCGTAGCGTACCTATATGTAATATGTAAATCCGCCACTGCTTCTCTTTTGCTTTAGATGTTTATGATTTTTATTTTCATGGTTTAATAAGTCACGTTTCTTTGGTATTTACCCGTGTAGGGGCGGTAAAGAATACCCCTACTGCAGAGACACTGCATGTCGTAAAAGGCGACTAATCAACGGATGTTTAGGAAGTAGGGCGATTTACCGTGGTTAGTATAAATGCGCAATTTGAATTTGCTCGTTATAGTACCAATTCCAAAGTCTTATTAGTGTTCCTAAGGTTTTCTAAAAAAGTTCTAAAAATGAGCGTACAAATTTTTATTTGGCAAGCTACAGGGATAAAACCCGCCTATTCCAGCCGGATAAGGGTGTTAATTAATATGTGTAGGTGTTATCAGGCGAAATTGTGTAGGCAATGTCTTAAATAACTAACCAAAGTGGATAAACACAGAGAATGTCACGTATTTTGGCCCACGCATGAGATTACTCATAAAAGTAGAAGAGTAAACAAGCCGAGAACCTGAGGGTACATTATCAATATCGTACAGGCAAGCAAACAAAGAATCTATCGAGATCGGCAGCGTCGCCACATACTTGAAAATAATGAGCTCTCGACTTTGGAAATTTAGGAAATGAGGCCGTATAGAAACTTACGGCGAGCTCGCGTGCTGACTTCTGCTCGAGATAAGCTGGAGAAAGATGAGAAACTATTGAGTCGGCCCCTCACGCAATTTCCCAACTTTGTTTATGTTCGTTCATTTGATGATTAAACTCTCTTTCGCTGTAAAGAATTCTGCCTTCAGTTCGTATTAAATCAACAATGGCTCGCGTTGTGATCGTGACACGAAAGGCGCATTGTTTGGGGATGATGTGCGATTAAAACGAGGAAGCTCATATTTGTTACGTTTGCTTAGTAACTACTGCCATAATGCGACGGGGAACAGAATGTACGGGGAGACAGTTCTTTTGTTGTGCCATATTATCCCAACGAATTAAACAGATAGTAAACACAATTAAAACTTCAATGGCTAATTTATTGATTCATTCTATACATATACATATCGCCTTAGTGTAGCCGCCTTGTTCCTGCTCTCGTAATTATCTGATGCAATGGACATTGTGAAACCATAATAAGAGAGTGACAAAACGGTGTAAAAAACCATCATTTATTTTCTTTTTTTGAAGTCAATTACCCAATTAACTAAATTATCTATTCTAATTTTTACGATAAATGCGTACTGTGTACACGATTTTTGTGTACCTTTACTTACCTACCTGTCCTTATTGTCTTTGATAATGCAGTTTGGTCCTT